CATTGTCCTAACCACTCGTCAACCTTCAGTGGTTCCTTCGGATCTCCAACAAAACTCGTCCGGATATTAGACCGGAAGAACTCCCTCTTCAAGAAAGAAGACCCTGCCTCAGCTGCCTGATTCCCTGCTCTGAGAATACCCAAAGCCCCTGCTATCTCTCGTGCCAAGGTACTCATAGCCTGCTGGCCCGCTGGTTCGGCCACATTGGCCTGGCCAACTTCCTCCTGCACTGCCGGAATATCATCCGGTAAGGGTACTTCCTGCCTCGCAAAGCCTACCACGCCTAGCACCTCTTCCTTGTCCTGACATCCTAATAAAGGTAATACAGAACATTAGCACATTCACAATGTGCCAAAACTAAACACTCACGTCCTAATGCATGGACAACAGTAATTCACTCCACGTAAGCACAATACACATAAGCACTTACGAATTTCATTTTCGGATAATGATAGTCCCGAGGCGTTACTAGAGTTTCGGTCGAAACGGCATTGATCAAGTGCCTTTCCAACAAGACTCCCAGAAACCCAAGGATCCAATCAACATCCTAAAATTAAATCCCATACCCACATAAACACGTAAGCATGTTATCAATTTAAACACATAGCATGTGACACTACATCTAAGTCTCTACCAAGTGAGACAAACCCATTGTGATACTAATCACTTCCCACGTACCCAAAGTATTCGAACCCGGTACACTCTGATACTAAGTGTAACGCCCTCAAATAATAACTTTAAACCATCAATAGAGACATGAATTGGTAATAAAGATAAACATTCTTCTATTCATCAGAGTAGTTTCTTACAAAAGTATTACATGTTAACAACAAAAGCAAATGCCCTCGGGCTTACAGCTTTCCAAGTTAACATTGGTTACAACAAAAGAGTGCTAACTCATTTACACATTAAGCCCTTGGCTTGAATATACATGTAATACATCAAGAAATAAAACGACAAAAAGTCTGCCTGCCTCTAGCCTCCCAAGCTACGTCCTTGGAGGTGGCATGCTACCGTTACCTGAAAATGATATTCCCATATAGGGTGAGCCACAAGCCCAGCAGAGATATACTAAACAACTATGAACGATGGCTAAAAGATTAGCAATTGATAGATGGCCAATACCGATACATCCACATATATCTCATCACAGTTTCATAACATACAAGTCTATGTTACTTTTCATTCTCCACCTTTATTTAGTAGATAAGCATATTAGCTATATCAACATATCAATAGATAAACATATCACGCATCAACAGATAAGCATATAAGCTATATCCACACTTCACTAGACAAGCATATGAGCTGTATCTACACTTCTCAAAGATAAGCCTATGAGCTGTATCTTCACTTCTCCAGACAAGCATATGACTGTATCTACGGAGTTCATCCCCCATCTCCTCCCAACACTATCCGATTTAGAGGTACATCCCCTATCTTCCCCTAAACCGCGGAGTACATCCCCTATCTCCTCATCTACACACAATGCATATAAACACAAAGGTTCTATACACAATCAATCAATACAT